CATCACTTATCCTTATGCTACATAAAGTGAATTGATAATATCTGATCATTGGCCCTCTGATGAGTGGAATTGTAACATTATTAATTATCTCCTTCAAATGTTTAATTCTATGACTATAACTTATTTCAACAATATTGTTTGATTCATTGTGACAAGATTTTGCGTCATATTTTCTATTAGCTCTCGCTTTCGTACGCAAAAGATGAAATAAATCACTTTACGCTAGGAATTATTCTCACCACATGATAACATAAGTTGTTTTGATTTGATTCCTTTAGTGAAAATGAATCCATTCATTATTTTGAATTCTGCAATTACATCTATTAGAAATGAGATCGAATCGAATCATTCACTCTTTCATTTTAAAATCATCGATTCTCTCAACACTATTTAATTTCAACACTCTAATATGAAAAAATATTTTCATGCTATCATATCATTCTTTGATATCCAATAAATATGCTGATGATTCACATATCACTGCCGATAAATTTTGCCAAAGTTTGTTTAAAAAGGATTGGAAGACGAAAGATGGATTATGAACCAAACTTGCTTGAATTCCTTCAACAACATAGATTATGTTTATTTATTTAGTTCTTCATATTCATTTTTCTCTTTTTCCATTGAAGCATTTAAGTCTTTTTTTTTGCTATAATCAACAAGCTATCATATTTCCTGCAATAAAGTTCTGAGATTTTGAGCCATTACCGCATATTTTTGAATAACTGCTATACAAATAATTGCTTATATCTGATTGCTTTCATTTTTTAGGTGAATTTTATGATTTTTGTTCGTGATACACCGGTCATATATAAGAAATACCGTATAGGTGGTGAATGAATTGTTTGTATACTCTGATTTTTTTACTAAGAACTACTGCTCTACTCATTATTCAAATCTTCCAGGCAGCTGCGACTACCGAACTTTCAGGTTTGTTTCGTGAAATTCTTCACTATTTTTTCTTGCGACGCCATGTCATTCATCGCTATTACCGATTTATGTCGCATCAGTTTGCATTGTAAAAGATAATTCCGTAATTTTATCGTAGAATTTGTTTACATTTCGCTATAAATGGCAATAATTTAATTAAATGCAAACTTCTCGTTGGTAGTTTAATCGTTGTAAATCACTTCAGTCCGAGTAATGTATTATTTATCGTGACAAAAGAAATTTGCCGACTCACAAAAAACAGAAAGAGCAAAAAAAGAAAAGGAAAAAAAGATAGTGAAAATTTATTATTCAACATTTGATGTATAACATGACTATCAATGTCAAATTTTTTACAGCGAATTCAGCTAAGGAGTAAGTGTTTCGCAGTAAAAAATTGATATCCTTCATCGGTTGTTTCCATCATGTTAAATGCTTGGAACGATTGATAACCCAACTTTTATTCAAGAATTCGAATTTTTATTTAAAAAAATTGCACTATCAGTAGAAAATGTAAAAAAATTGCACTTATTAAATGTTCAGAGTGAAACAATGAGTTAAACGATACTTTAGTTTTGATTTTCAATTTTCATTTCTTTTCGTTAATATTACAAATATTTGAGGTATTGAATTATAGATACGGTAATAGTAGGTTTTCAGGAGAGATTAGACAGGAGAGATTGTCTCATATTTTGGCAGATTTTAACGATAAAAAGAAGAAGGAAGTAAAAAATGAATCTTTGTAAAAGCATTAATTTGAACACTTTTCGTAGGACTCTGATTTTCTGAATTATCATTTTATTTTCTTACTTGCATATTTGATCGATTGCTTTTATCATGCCATGAAGTAATAATTTAGGTTGTGAGAAGTGTGATTTACGTTCATCATTTTGTCAAAAAAGTAGCAGTACGGGTAAAGTGAATTGTATATGCCGTTCTGGCTTTGTCGCTGACAGTATCGGAAAATGTCGCCATATGCTTGGTAGCGATTTCATTGAAATTTCTTCAAATAAAATTGTCAAAGTCAAAAAAAAACGATTTCAGGAATTTTGTATTTTTCATCATAACTGTATTTATTAAGTGTATATGTACTATCATTTCTTGCAGATTCTCGCAAAATTAACATGTCAAATAATAAATGTATTTCCGGACAAAGTGAAGGAGTAGCTGAAAAGTGAGCAAATAGCTTTTCAAATGCTTTCTTTACTAAATCTATACTTTATTATGGAAAACAATGTATTTTGTTTTAAAACAAATCACAATTGGCCAAATAAACTGGCTATTTCGTTTAGTAGTCTAGCCTACTTTTTGCGTGCAGTGATGCATTTTTCTTACGACATTTCTATTTTCTACTTTTCTTTGTGTCCGAAAAAATATCAGTGTTATTTTAATTAGCCGAGAAATTGATCGAAGTTTAAGATAATATCACAAATAATCGTGGTAAGATTAGAGTAAATGTTATAGTTGTTCTGGGATTTTTTCAAATTTCTCTAAAACTTTCCTTAGCGGAAGAGTTGGTGATCGATATTAGAAATTTGCAGAAACTATTTGACACTGCAATAATTTTTTAGTAATTCATTGTGAGATATACTTTAGAATATTATCGGAAATACTGGAAAAATATGATCGAAATTTGGTGCCAGCTGTGGAAGGTGTTGATGTCGACGTCGAAATACTCATTCAACAGGTTTTTCTACCATCCTTCATGCTTTATGAATGCTGTGGAGAAGAAATTCATTTGTTTAAAGATTTCTATTCTTGTAAATAATAACATACCTTACTTTATCTTTGTGGTTTTTAAATTTTTCACCGGAAATAAAAAGTAAAAGAAGAATTAAGTAATTTTAGATATCCGAAATTTCTGAAATACACAGCAGTTCTAAGATGCATATCTTGTTGGCACAGATCTGGCGAGATCCTAACTTGTCATTTCAAGTAACTTAATTTTTTTCTTCTATTCCTCTCTCTCTCAAATTTATTTCAAAAAATAGCAATTTATTTTCTTAGACAGTTTTTTTGCACTGTATCGATTTTATACTTCGTGTTATTAAATGATTTATTAGCTTATCTCGATTATGTTGAAAGGGAATAAATGGGATCATTTAAATTTCAAAAAGTTAATAAAATTCAACATCATAATTATTATTTGTTGAGGACATGGAAGGAGCAGATTGTATGCAAAATTTAACTTTATCACATCGTATGGTGGAGAAAATATGGTTGCCAAACGTATGCATCGTAAACAGTAAAGGATCGGTAATTCATCAATCGCCCACACCGAACGTTTTTCTCGCTATCCTTCCGAATGGCACCGTTTGGGTAAATTACAGGTTGAGTAGCAAACTTCTCCGAAAATTCTATCTTTTTGATAATATAATCACTTATCGCAATGCAATCGATGGTCAGTCAAAATATTTTCCAAATTAGTCCCGCGGTAAAATTATCGATAATGTAAAGGATGATATGACGAAGTAAAGCTAATACAAGACTGGATTTAAAGAAGATTTTTTTTTTCTTAAACTTAAAAGTATGAGAGAGAGAGAAAGGAACAGCTGAACAGAAAGAAAAATGGTTATTTCAGATTATTTCGTCCTATTTTAGAATTATGGTGGAAACGCCGTGTGAAATGGATTTTTCAATTTTTCCAATGGATCGTGTTGAATGCATAATGGTTTTTGAAAGTTATTCATTTAATATTGGTAAAGTTCGTTTGCATTGGAAACGCCATGGAATTCCGGTAGAAGTGATCGGGCAAACTAATTTGCCGGATTTTCACATGACACATTATGTTCATGAAAAAGCAACATTCCACTATCCAGCGGGTGTTTGGGATCATGTAAGCAATCAATAACAGTATTTCTAAGACAAAACTATGGTTAGCTTGAAAGATATTGATAAGTGATAAGTGTATTGTAAATTAAGCGTGATATTGTAATCAGATATGATGTGCGAATTCACGCTGCTTTCTAAAAATTATTTTTCAGTGCCTTACCGTTGTCCGGATAAAAACTCATTTCGGGAATCATTCTCATTCATTTCTGAGATCTTATAAAAGAAAAAAATAGATTGAAATTCAATTTTCAAGCTGAAATTTATTGATTGAGATCAATTAATTTCGAATAAATGACATCTGATTAAGATCGACTTATAATACATGTCTTGCAGTGTTGAAGTTTATTTGATGAATTTAATGATGTAAAAATTTCTTCATGAGTTCGAAATTTGCATAATTGCAGTTGAACATAAAGTTATACTTTCGTCGGTCTTACGGTTTCTACTTATTGCAAATCTATCTTCCAACGTACTGTATGGTACTCATTTCATGGATATCATTTTGGTTGGATCGTCGATCCCTTCCAGCTCGGGTCACCGTTGGCGTTTCGTCAATGATGGCACTTACTTTGCAATATTCCAATGTTGCAAGGACACTTCCAAAGGTCTCATCTCCCCTAATGTCATAATTTTAAAGCTGTTGTTAGCTAAACACATAAATTTTATGAAAAGATTACCATTGCTAATCTTTTCATAATTAAAAATTTATGTCATTGGTTGTTTGGAGATTGGAAGTGAGAATTCGTATATTCTTCAATATAGGAAAAAATTATTTGATTTAAAAGTTTGAAGTAAAGCAATGAGTATAAAGTCTTTCTTTATATCGGAGGACTATTTTAACTTCTTAAAAAATATGTAAAATGAGTTTCTCTTTAATCATTATCAGTTTATCTTTCGCACAGCATTCCTTCAAGCATTTGATTTTATTTTTTGGGAATTCTTTCAGGTCTCATATGTAAAGGGTTTGGATTTATTTATGTTCGGTTGTGTTGGCTACATATTTTTATCAATTGTTGAATTAGCTATTGTTGGAATGTTGGAAAAAGCGGCGACATCAAGGAGTCACGGGAATACTGAAAATGATAATGATGAATCTAACCCGCTTCTGAATGAATCCCGGTCAGGTAGACAATTGTTCAGGGAAAGTCGTCGGAGGAAGGTTTGATATTATGATATTTTATTTAATTTTCTTACTGTTAAAATTGTTTTTCTTGAATTTTGAATTTTTGTGATTTTTTTTTACTTTAGATTATTAAATTTTGAGAAATATGTCGGTTTTCAGTTGCTAGAAGACGTGACTGAACAAAAAAAAATTGAAACAGAAGTTAGTGAATTAACAACTTATCGAAACTTATATCCATATAGAACTTCCAGTTATCATTAATTGAACGGGTTGACAAAGACTCACGGATATCCGGAAAAGTTAATGTTGATCTAAACAACAGTTTGTGGATGCGTAATGAGGGAACATTCATCGAGTACAATGAACGAAAGCAATCATCAATTCGACATCCGGAAATAATGAAATTAGATGACTACAGTGCGTATTTCAATCTAAGGTTCATTTCGCTTGTAGGAAATCTATCCTTCATGCTTACCTTTTATATTTACTTTTTACTTTATTTATCTAAATTTCATATGAATAAACCAATTTATCGGATGAACTATATTGTTTGTAGATTATCATAACGTTTTGCTGAAATGATAAAACAAATATCAGTCCAATGGTTGTAATAATATCGAAAAAATTCTCAAAATTCTTTCGTCCACCATATTTGTTTTGTTAAATATCTAAAAAAAATTTCTGCAAATTTCTAAACAATTTTAAAAATAGATGAATACAAAAAACTTTTGCTAACTATCGCATTCTATGGCTTTGTGATTTAAATTTTAATATTAGTGTAATTAATGTAACATAGCGCTCTTGATGAGTGTAGCTAGCATAGCATCGGTGCATCTGTTTAAGTATTAGTGATATTTGTTTACAGTAATATTGTTTAGATGATGATAACACGAATCGTTGTTTGACCTCTTCAGTCTCCGAAGGAGCAAGGTGTCACAATAAACATCGCCAAAGAAGACGCAGCAATGG